ACGAGATTCAGGCATACAGCGTAGTGATTGGACAAGTCTGTACATTGCGCTGCGCTCACCCCAAGCATAGCCCCCATCTGCCCCCCTACAATGCTATTGTAATACCACGGGCTGTATTCTCCATGCTGTACCCTCATCCCTGGGACTCATTCATTCCATAACTGGAAGCCTTTACCTTCCACTCCCTTTCACCCACTTTGCCCCCTACCCTCTGGCAAGCATCAGTTTGTTCTCTGTTTTTATGGGTCCGTTTCTGCTTTTTGTTTGTTTGTTTTGTTTTTTAGGTTCCACATATAAGTGAAATCATGTGATATTTGTCTTTCTCTGACCTAACTTCACTTAGCGTAGTACCCTCTTGGTCCATCCGTGTTGTCCCAAATGGTAAGATCTCATTCTTTTTTTTTTTTTTTTAAGATTTTATTTATTTATTTGACAGAGAGGAAACATAAGCACGGGGAGTGGGAGAGGGAAAAGCAGGCTTCCCGCCGAGCAGGGAGCCCGATGCGGGGCTCGATCCCAGGACCCTGGGATCATGACCTGAGCCGAAGGCAGACCTTAACGACTGAACCACCCAGGCGCCCCAAGGTCTCGTTCCTTTTTTTATGGCTGAGTAATATTCCACTGTGTACAAATATGCCACATCTTCTTTATCCATTCATCTATCAAGGGACACCTGGGTTGCTTCCATATCTTCGCCCTGGTAAATAATGCTATGATAAACACAGGGGTGCATATGTCTTTTTGAATTAGTGTTTTCATTTTCTTTGGGTAAATAGCCAGTAGAGGAATTACTGGATCATTTGGCTTTCTTTCTTTTTTTTTTTTAAGATTTTATTTATTTGAGAGAGAGTGTGCACACTAGCAGTGGTGAGAGACAGGGGCAAGGGAGAAGCAGACTCCCTGTTGAGCAGGGAGCCCGACATGACAGGGGCTAGATCCCAGGACCCCCAGAGTCATGACCTGAGCCAAAGGCAAACGCTTAACCGACCGAGCCACCCAGGCGCCCGGTTTTCCTATTTTTAATTTTTTGAGGAATCTCCATACTATTTTCCACAGCGGCTGCACCAATTTACATTCCCACCAGCGGTGCAAGGGAGATTCCTTTTTCTCCACACCCTCGCCGACCCTTGTTATTTCTTGTCTTTTTGATTCTAGCCATTCTGACAGGTGTGAGGTGATATCTCACTGCAATTTTAATTTGCATTTCCCTGATAATGAGTGATGTTGAACATCTTTTCATGTGTCTGTTGGCCCTCTGTATGTCTTTTTTAAAAAAAAGTCTCTGTAGGTCTTCTGTCCATTTTTAATCAGATCATTTGGGGTTCTTTTTTTTTTTTTTGATGTTTAGTTGTCTAAGTCTTTACATATTTTGGATAGTAACCCCTTATCGGCTATGTCATTTGCAAATATCTTCTCCCATTCAGTAGGTTGAATGGCCTGGTCATTTGTCCAGCCTCTCCCCAGCCTGCTTTTAACTCGGATCAAGTCCTGTTTGAATTTTGCTGGTCTGGGGTCCAGGTGGCTTTTTTGGTGACTTTACATATCTCTCCCCTCTAAGATGGATTAAGTGATGCCCCTGTATTTAGATGTGGGGAATCCTAATTTTTCTTGATTTTTCCAGAACCTTGGGAACCATCTGTGATGACTATCCTTTCACTTCCCATGTCCAATTAACCACAAATCATATTAATTTTTTTAAAAAAGTCAAGCCACTTCCTCCATCTCCACAACCACTACCCCAGTGGCCATCACTTCCAGGTCTCCCTGTCCCCAGCCTCCTAATCCTGTTCCTTTCTGTGGCCAGAGAGGTGTTTTTAAAAATGTAATTTGAGCCAAGGCACTTCTCTGTTAAAATCCTTCAGTTCTACCCTTTGATCTCAGGATAAAGTCCAAAATGTTTCAAGTCTCCAAGAGTGGGAGGTCTTTTCCACCTCCCACTGTGCTGCAGTCCTGCAGGCTCAGCTCTGGCCCACTCCCCCTCAGGGCCTTAACACATGCTGTTCTTCTTGTCTTCTCTGTGGGTAACTCCCCTCTCTTCTCAGTACAAGGGTAGCTTGAGAATAATAGCAATTAACATTTACACAAACGGCTTGTGTGTATTAGCTTGTTCTCACAATAAGTGAGTACCTTTATTAGTTTACTTACAGACTGGAAATCTGAGAGTCAGATGTGAAGAACTTGCTTGCTTGAGGTCATAGAGGTAGCAAGCACCAAGCCCCCCCACTAGGCAGTCAGCTGCATGAGGACAGGGATTGTGTGTGGGCTTTGCTCATGGGTGCCTAGTATTCATCTGTTGATTTAACAAATATTGGACATTTAGAATGTGCCATGATAGGCACTGTTCTAGGTCCCTGCTTTCATGAAGCTTATATACAGTGAGAAAAAGACAGATACTTAGCAGGTGAACACATATTTGAGCAATGTAATTTTAGGTAGTTAATAAGAGCCTTGAAAACAAGAAAACAGGATGGTGTGTTAACAATGAACAGTGTTGGCAGGCTACTTTAGACCACAGGGTAGTCTGGGAAGGCTTCCCTGAGGAGGAGCTCTATTCTCAGGAGGAGTATTCCATAAAGGTGTTTCTTGATTTAATGCACCAACTAGACCATAAACTGCGCGAGGCAGAGAGGGACTTCCTCTGCCTTGTCTACCATGGTATCCCCTAGCACCTATATCTGGCATGGGCATAGAATGAGCCCCAATTAACCATTCCTTTGAATGAATGAATCTGTAAATATGTGTATTTTTCATTCCTTTACTCACATCAGTGGTTTTCAATGGGAGTGTCTGTGTGCCTTCTGGTAATTTCTGGATTCCTTTGTCACAATGATAAGGAGGGTGGTTCCTGGCATTTATGGAAGAAAGGATGCTGTATATCTTGCCACACATGGAGACAGTTCCACATAATGTAGACTTGTCCCATATACCACATGACTTTCAAATGACCTGTTAGATCCCCGTGTAGATGAAAAAAGCTTTTAACTATTGAAGCCTACACTGACTCCTTTTTACGTAGAAACAAAGTATTAATTTATTTTTTATTTTAAAAATTTTTACTGAAACGTAGTTGACATACTAGTTTCAGGTGTACAACATAGTGGATCAACACTTACGTATATTAGGAAATGCTCACCACAGTAAGGGTAGCTACCCTCTGTCACTGCACAAAGTTATTGCAATATTCTTGACTGCATTTCCCATGCTGCACTTTTCATCCCCGTGATTTATTTATTTCAGGGTCTCTTAATCCCCTTCGCCTATTTCATCTATCCCCTTCGCCCCCTAAAGAGAAACATTTTCGCTCCCTTAAACGTCAACTAAATTTCCAGGAAGACCACCGCCATGTAAAAAGGGGGATGATTGTATTTTGTTCTTTTGAAGCTCTACCAACATTTAATCCCATCACCCATGGATACTCCTGCAGATGTGGCGGTCGGGCTCTGGATAACTACCTACCTCTACGTCCTAGCAGTCTGAAAACTTCAGAATGTCTTCCGTATTTGCGCCCAAACATTTACATGCTGAACCACTTATTATATCATTATAACTTATTTTATGTCGTCTTTATTTTACAATAAGCAACACATGGATTATAAACGTTGCGCCTGTGGGTGGGTTACAGGTGCTCTGTTCCCGGAGGGCCGGGCGGGGGGCTGTCGGCGGGCAAGCCCTTGGGTCCGGAGGAGACCCCAGCGGAGCAGTCCTCCGCGCGCCAGGGGTCGCTGTGGCTCCGCGCGGCCGCGCCGGGTCGCTCTCGCGTGGCCGCCCCGCCTCGGGCCCCCGGGCCGAGTGGGCGGGCACGACTGCGCCCAGGTCGCGAGGCGCCCTTCGACCAGCAGCGCCCGGGGCGGGCGAGTATAAATGGAGCGGTGGCTCCCCCGGCCGCCTCTCTCCGCCCCGGGTCGCCGCAGCCTCCGTCGCTTTCAGGCTGTAGTAGCCTGAAGGAAAAACAGGAAAAGATAAAAAAAAATCCGAAAATGCTTTAAAAACCTAAAAAAAAAAAAACGAGAGAGAGAGAGAGAGAGAGAAAGAAAAAAGCGCATCCTCCTCGGAGAACCCGCGGGGAAGTCACTTCTGCACGCTTCCGGCCTGCCCGCGCCCGCCGCCGCACCTTGGCGTCCGTCTGTCCGGTGGTGAGCAGCCCGCCCGCGTCCACGCGCCTCCGCTCCGGCCGCCCCCGCGCCGCGTGGCAGCCCCGCGCCCGCCGCCCTCGCCCCCCCGCGCGTCGGCCCCGGGCGCACCACGTGTCCGCGCTGCCCTTCGCCGGCCCGGCGTGGGAGGAGGCTGCGCGCCCGGCCCCCGGGGCTTGCCGAGTCGGCGCCGACCAAGATTTGGTTTCCCTCTTGCCCTGGCTGCTGTAATATTAAACCGCCGGGAGCCCGCGGCCTATATTTATAGAGAAACGCGTGTCCCGGAGGCCGCCGTGGGCACCATTTGGTTGCCTCTTGGAGAATTTTTATAATTTGGAGGGGAGTCCCCGTTTTAATACGTTATTTTTTTTTTCTTCTCTTTTGAAATTTGGAGCTTCAGACCAGGACAGCTGCAAATTACAAACTCCCAGGGAGGGCCATATTGTTTTTGAGAGCCTTTTGTCTGCGGTTTTGCAGTCTCGTACGAGCTGTCCCTGAACTCCTCCTCCCGGTCCTCCGTCTCTCCGAGCCTGCTCCGGCGTCTCTTAGCTTCACTCTGCCACCTGTGAGCCGCGGCGCGGGCCACGGCTCCGAGAAGAGCCCCTTTTGTCCTGTGTGGTCCCTATAAGAAGTTCTCCTGGCGGGGCTCGGGGTGGTGGGGGCTGGGGAGATGAACGCTGCGGCCAGCAGCTACCCCATGGCCTCCCTCTACGTGGGTGACCTGCACTCGGACGTCACCGAGGCCATGCTGTATGAAAAGTTCAGTCCCGCGGGGCCTGTGCTGTCCATCCGGGTCTGCCGCGATATGATCACCCGCCGCTCCCTGGGTTATGCCTACGTCAACTTCCAGCAGCCGGCTGACGGTGAGTAGACGCTCGTATCCACAAATTCGTAGGGTCCTAGGGGACCCTCGGAGTCTACCCCATGGGGTGGTGGTGGTGGGGGGGAAGACACGGGTACAGGGGTTGAGAATGAAGATCTTGGCATCAGGTGACCGGAGTTTTAATCTTGCTTCCACCGCTTGCTAACTGGGTGACCTTGGGCTAATCAGTGGTGGCGGTGGGGTGGGAACCCAAGGAGACTGTAAAATGGGATTGGGAGAAAGTCCCTGTCACTCCATTGTGTATATGGTCCTGCTTTGGTGGGACCCTTGTCCGGTCACTGAGCACGGGTTCATGCCCCTCACAGGCCTGCCAAAAAGGCAGAACAATTGAAACACACTTCCTGCAGAAATTTTAGATTCTAGAGCTGCCGTCCCTCCCCTACCTTTACCCTGGACTGAGTCTCTTTGCTTTCATACTGATAAGGGGTCTTTCTGGGCAAGTGGGAGGCAGTGGGAACAATTCTGTTCGTTTTACTTGAGCAGGGGCTCGTGTTGGCGCCGCGAGCCCTGCATGTGCCAGGCCAGCTCCCAGGTCTGTGGCTTTAAAGCTCCTGGGGTGGAGGAGTCCTTTACTCTCTGGACGAAGCCCTGGGCTGTGGAGAAGGGGTGTGCAGGCAGTCTGGGGAAACGCTGCGGGGGAAATCGACTGGGCTGGTAGGGATTATGGCCTCACCTGTGCACAGAGCTTTACCCTTGCCAAAACCCTTTTCCTTCATCCCATCTGAAGAAAATGGGACTCCGGAGAGGGAAAAGGAACTGCAGAAGGTTGAAGGCTCAGCTGGGACTGCCAGCGCAGTGCCCCGCCAGCCCAGACTGGGGCCCTTGCTTGGAACAGTGGAGAGGTATGCTGCAGGCGTGGCCGGAGCGAGGCCAGAGGAAACCTAATCAGGGGCCGCACGTGACTTCAGATTAAAAGGGAACAACTGTAGAGACCATTACGGGGAGAAACGAGCCATTCTATGGCAAAGGATCTCTGGGTCCCTATTTTTGTCCACACTTTGTTCACTGTCCGTGAAGCACAGAGAATGTCACTTGCCCAGGCTGCAGCTGAGACCAGAGAATCCGACTTGTTGAGAGACGAGCGGTGCTGCTACCATCAACTCGCCGTGTGCTCTGAGCTGTGTCTGGCCAGAGGGCACAAAGGTGGCCGTGTGGCCTTTTTCCGGGGGGAGTAGTGGGTACATTGGCTGTTGCCTGACTTTTTGACACTTGGTGAACAAAAGTCCTGTCACTTGGTGATAGTAGCAGAAGCCATTGGTCATTGCGTCTGCCAACACATGCCTCTGCAGGACCTCTCCCTGCTATAAATAAGTGCAGCCAGATTTGTTAGACGAAGCTGATTTGCCTTCCGCAGCACTGTCTGGAAAGACGCGAAGAGCTGTGTTGAAAGGGCTCCTTCACGGCTAGTCAGTGAGACCGTGGGGTCCCAGGCTGTGGGTCCCAGATAAACCATCAGGAGGGATGGCTTCTGTACCTGGTCTTTTCCTGAGTTGGATCTGTCCAGTCTCTGCTTTCCCTGACCTTCCCTCCCATACTCAACCAGCCCACCTGAGAAGGTGGGAAACGTGGTTGGAGATGCTGACTGGACAGCTGAGCTTGTGGAGGGGCAGAGTTAGGGAATTTTGTCCCTGTCTTAAGTGAGGTGGTACCTTGGGGCAGGAGAACCCCCACGCCCATGCCCCTGATTCCCTCATGGCGGAGATTCTGGGGCGGTTCATTGCGTAAGTCAAAAAGTGGCCACCAGCTCCGGGATTTTAACTACCACTAAGAGAAGCGTTCCTGCTGACGGGTGGTGGTATGTCTTAGCTTCTGGTCCTTGAAGTGGTCTCTGGTACACACATGGATTTGTTGGGAAGCTAGGGAAGTGTCCCAAGGCACTGGATGGAGAACTTGGTTGGGCACCAGGGCATATGAAGTTCTGGAATTTCACAGAACTCAGATTAAGACTTGAGAAGGCCTGGAAACCACAAGGTGCAGAGCCTCCTGTGCTATGTGCTTAGAAGGATGCAGTTTCATCCTCATCGTCCTGATGATAAAAAGACTGTTTCTATGTGTGACCATTAGTATCTGTCATTTTGAGGTTTTTGAATCAATTTCTGTTGTCAGAAATTGAAAATATAAGAAACTGGGCTGAATTCAGGGATAGCACATTCTCCCCAGTCAGTCACTCCTAGATTTTGTTCTGTCATTTGTCTTGTAGATGGATCGTAGACAAAATGACAGCTAGTTGGTAATTTGATACAATACCTTACTGAAAATAATCGGAAAGTCTGGTATTAGTTTCTTAATCACTAGTTAGCTGCATGGCTTAGCCATCCTGGACTTAAGTTTGTTCATTTTATGAAGTAGATGGTATCACCTGTCCCACCTGCATCACCACGGGTGGTAAGCAGCAGTCTTCATAACTGTTACCACTTAGTCAAATGTGCGGTGTTGTGATTTGATCTTGGTGCCAGAAGGCCATTTAGATGATCTCGCCTAACCCCCTTACCCAACAAGGGTGCAGCCCAGAGGGCTGGAGACTTCTGCCAAGATGTGGAGCGACTGGCCAGAATGTCTACCCTCAGGATCAATATGGGCTAGAGGGAGCTGATGCCCTTTAGTTTTAATAGAGTTGCCTTTTATCAGAGTGATTACCTTGAAAAGTCCTACAGTCATCTGTTCCTGGGATGGTGGCAGTCATCAACACGAGGTGACGTGTTATATCCTTGACTGAAATGTGTTTCTCTCTTGCAGCTGAGCGGGCCTTGGATACCATGAACTTTGATGTGATTAAGGGAAAGCCAATCCGTATCATGTGGTCTCAGAGGGATCCCTCTTTGAGAAAATCTGGTGTGGGAAACGTCTTCATCAAGAATCTGGACAAATCTATAGATAACAAGGCACTTTATGATACTTTTTCTGCTTTTGGAAACATTCTGTCTTGCAAGGTAAGCACCAATTAAAGGACTTCAGAGTAATTACTGACTCATGAGAACAAGAGAAATACTGAAGGGGGAACAGCCTTGGAATTGGGCGACAGGATATGGTCGTTTTTGAAATGCTGGAAATGGCTCTGCAGCCTAAAAGTTCCCTGTAGGTAATCTTGTGCCACAATCCAGCATGACCAGCAGGTGCTTTTGTGTCTTTGTTTATTCTTCCCTCTGCCTAAAATACCCTTCCTGTTTCCTACCTTTGGAGGGCATCAAAGGGTTTCTCTGGGGCCGCGGGGGGTGGGGGGGCGGGGAGGGAGGAACCAGAGCAGTGCCTCAGGTCTCCAGGTGGCTGTAATGGGTCATTTCAGAAGCATAAAATCATCGTTGTCTTCTCTGTGCACCTGTTTATGTGGAGAATTTTGTACAACTGGTGTGGTTGTTTACATGTCTAACTCCGCACTAGACTGAAATTCTATTGTGGGCGTGGAAAATGGTCACTTTTTCGGCAGCACGGTGCTTTTGCCCCCAAATCTCAAGGTCTTTTAATGAAATAAAACACGTGGAATAGAAGCAGCCTAATAGTGGCTGCCATTTGTAAACGGAACATCACTGGGTGCCTGGTAGTGTCCTCCATGTTAAGAAAACTTGGCGTGCTGTAGTCTCCTGTCTGGACCGTGGATGGGCTAATGGCCTCTCAGATGCTGGCAACTAAGTAGAAGACCACGTGGTTCTCTATACTCTTTGGAGATGCCACTGGTGCTACAGCGGTCTGCTTGTCTTTGCCAGGTGGTGTGTGATGAGAACGGCTCTAAGGGTTATGCCTTTGTCCACTTCGAGACGCAAGAGGCTGCTGACAAGGCCATCGAGAAGATGAACGGCATGCTCCTCAATGACCGCAAAGTGTGAGTGTCCCAGTCCGGAGCGACAGCCATCGCATGAGCCAGCCGTGGCCCCACCTCGGTATTAACTGGCACACAAGGCGGCTACTGGTTCTCTCGGCCCAAGCGTGGCCTGCTCCTACCTCTCCACTCCAGGGCTGGTGAGTCTCCCTGCCCGAGCCGTGGCAGTCCTTTGACTCGCCAAGGTGGGCTTCCTGCCCAAGCCATGGCCTGCCTGCCGCCTCTCCCTTAAAAGCATCATCCGTCCGCGGGTTTTGTGAGCACCGGCAACTGGGGCTTGCTGGAAGGCATCTATGAGCCCTTTCTGAGCAGGGGTCTTGGCCAGCGGCAGAGTGGAGAGGGCCCTGGACTGACCAGGAGCTGTGTACTAGCCATGTGACCTTGGCCTTCCCGTGACTCAGGTCTGTCCATGGGGTCATTTGCTAGGGGTTGATGCCAAATTGTCCCAAGATCTCCACTTGGCTAACTTATGACTCAGTGACCTTCTCATACAAGGCTGGCTCCACAGTAATACTTAATTTGGTTATAATGAAGAATCTCATCTGATGGCAGAAGACGCTGTTCGTAATAGACCTTGTTGCTTTAGTGTGGTTATTGCAGAATGCGGGGGGGGGTCTTAGCCAAGCCATGGCAGGGAGAGAAGGGGCAGTAAGTCTTGGCTATAGCAAGCAAAAAATCTTTTCTGTTCTTTGTGGGGCGCCTTTTTATGTTGTACAGACCAGGGGATGGATAACATTGATAATGTGTATGTGGCCAGTGGTGAAGTCTTAGACAAAGGTATCACTAGAAAGAGATCTAAAGATTTTTCAGCATATGGATACATTTTCCCGTTTGTGTCAACACCAGAATGAGGCCAGTGCAAAAGCAAAGGCTACCTCATAGTTCACTCTAGCCGTCTCACCCCTAGGGCTAACCCCTGTTAACAGTTTGGTTTGTATCCTTCCAGACCTTTTCTATGCATTTACATAGATGCACAGAAATGAACGTTTTAAAAACATGGTCATCAGGTTTCTTCACGAAGGCAGTGTGATGTGGTAGGAGTAGCCCTGGTCTGAGCCAGGAGTCCTGGGGCTGGTTCTTGCAGGACAGTCCTGCCTCTCTCTTTCTGCTGGGGAGTCGGGGCGTCTCTGAGCTTGCTGTCTTGGTGGTTGGATGGGGACTCGTGTGTTTTAACCTCTCCTGTCAGCCTTTAACCTATATTCCTTTGGGCCCCTGGAAATCATGATTTTTGTTCCTCTGGGTGTTCACTGTTTTCCATGGTCTCTTTTTAGGTTTGTGGGCAGATTCAAGTCTCGAAAAGAGCGGGAAGCTGAGCTTGGAGCCAAAGCGAAGGAGTTCACCAATGTTTATATCAAAAACTTTGGGGAAGAGGTGGATGATGAGAGTCTGAAAGAGCTTTTTAGCCAGTTTGGTAAGTTGGGCTTCTTCACCCCATGTGCCCCCTTCCGCAGTCCACCAGACCTACAACTCCTCCTGTATCTTAGTTGTTTAAGAGATGAGGGCGCCTAGGCCCGGAAGTAAACTGCCTTGCATGACAGGGTCACAGAGTAGATAGGAATAGACTCTTGGCTTCATCCTACCTCGTCCCAGCCCCAGAGCCGTCTCAGTAGCTTGGTCAGAAGTCGAAGGCCAGGCATGGCGCCTCTCTCTAGAGTCCATCTGGGTTCAGCAAGAGTTGGCTTCATTTGGGCTCCGAGAGAAGCCTCCTCTCCTTGAGCTGTAACAGAGATGGTGTTACTAATAGTTCTGTCCTTTGGTAATAGGTAAGACCCTAAGTGTCAAGGTGATGAGAGATCCCAGTGGGAAATCCAAAGGCTTTGGCTTTGTGAGTTACGAAAAACACGAGGATGCCAATAAGGTGAGAGTCCCACGAGGGTTGGGGAAACATTTGCAGGAAGTGGCCCCGAGTGTGGGCAGGGCCCGGCTGGCACATAGCTGAGCGGAGCGGGCATTGCCCGAGTGTCGTAGTGATGTCGTTCCTGGCCTGAGGGGCCTTCACGTGCTAATCCGTCATTTACCTGTCCCACAGCACGTGGCACCTACCTTTCACCTAGCTCTTCAGCCCTGTAGGGGGATAGAATAGGATGGGTGTTTGCTCCCCTTCCTAGTGAGGGGGCTCGGGGCCCCAGGAGTTGCTGACTTGCTGGCAGTAGCTGCTGCTTACAGGGAAAGCATGATGCTGGGCGCTCAGTGGGCACCACTCGCTCCCCACAGAAGAACGGAAGACACTCAGTGACACCCAGATGAGCAGCCTCGGCTCATGTCTGCTGCGCTTGTATTTATAAAACTACAATTTTTTTCTGTTATCATCTGGACCAATAACCCATTTAAGTAGTAACCCCATTTTACAAAGTTTGGATTTGCTTAGCTGACTTCAGGTGGAATGAAATTAATTTTTAGCCCTATAGGAAAGATTTCCTTCTCTCCGAATGTTGTGGTGGGACTTTCAGGCATCCAGAGCAAGGCCCCTGCCTCTACATCTTGATTTTTAAGACCTGTGTTTCCTCTTTAGGCCGTGGAGGAGATGAATGGAAAAGAAATCAGTGGGAAAGTGATTTTTGTAGGCCGTGCCCAGAAGAAAGTGGAACGGCAGGCTGAGTTAAAGCGGAAATTTGAACAGCTAAAACAAGAGAGAATTAGTCGGTATCAGGTGAGAGGTGCTCTTGGCACAGCCTCCCACCCAGGGGTTTACTGTGGAATACTGGCAAGAGCACCCTTAGGTTTAGCAGGCTTTCTCTTTGGGCATCTGGAATCTGCCTCTTCTCTCCTTTCCCCCAAGATCCTCAGGTGTAAAAGGAAATACCTACCAGATACAGCAGCGATTCTAGAACAAGGGCAAAAGATTGATTCATTCGTTTAGGGACTCATTCCGGCATCCTCAGTCTTTTGTTCTTACTTGTGTGGGTTCTTTTTACTTAAATGATTACCCTTTGTTGGAGCGGTGGCAGGAGCCCTGCTGGGGCTAGCAGTCAGCCAGAGGAGCTGTGCAGAAAGCCAGGCCCACACTGAGGGTCCTGTCAGAGTCCGCAACAGGAGTCTAAATCCTGAGCCTGCATCAGAATCCCCTGCAGGGCTTGTGAAAACGTGGCTTTCAGAACCCCAGAATTTCTGATTCAGGAGATTGGGGTTTGGGCCCGAGAATTTGCATTTTTAAGAAGTACCCAAGGAGCGGGGCTGCTCTTGGTCTAGGACCACATTTTGAGAATCAGTGTCTTAGGGCATATGTGGGGTACAGATGTGCATTAACGGTGATCCTTGTGCTTCAGGGGGTGAATCTCTACATTAAGAACTTGGATGACACCATTGATGATGAGAAGTTAAGGAAAGAGTTTTCTCCTTTTGGATCAATCACCAGTGCTAAGGTATTTTATACTGAGATTTGGGATCGAAAGTAGAAATTACAATTTTTTAGAGGTTTATTGTCATTTGTTTCATTGAAGGAGTGGAATCTAAATCGTGTTCATTTCTGAGAATAAATACCACATTAATCTAGCAAATTTCTCCTGGCGTTCAATTATGCATCTGAGTTCTGGAGAAGGGCATTTCATGAGGTATACATTGCACTGTCTCCCAGGACTGAGGTGTGGTGGTGAATCTGAGCAGTCCCGCCTGTTGACCCCTAAGCACCTGAATCTTTCCCATTCTTTGCTGCTTTGTGCTGGCGTGGGGACAGATGGTGCAACAGTATGAGCAGAGGAAATCCAGACGGGTTGTTTTCCATTTGTCTTGGGGCCTGTCTCTACGACTCTGCCACACTTCATCCTTGAACAAAGGTATTTTGAGGACTTGGGAACTGGGTTTGGGGACTTCTGGCCTGGCCTTACAAAGCTAAGAGGAGTGGAAAGATGGCTCTTAACACGTTTTGCAGTGTGCATCGTTTGCTTGGTTTTCTTAGGTAATCCTATCAACTGATGCAGCAGGGTGAATGCATATGAATCCCCTCCTAAAGATAAGGAATTAGAGTCCTTGAGCACGAGAACACTGGTTATGTGAGGATGGAGCGTGCACGGCCTTGGCCCATGGTGGGTGTGATGGGAAGTGATGCGTGTGTGAAGGTCTTGGACCATAGTCTGATGCAGACGCTGCTGCTCCGCGGAGGTGCAGCACACGTCAGAGTCCTCCTGGGGGTGAGAACAGAGGCCGAGTGGGCTGGTAAAGACGTGGTGACCCTGCCTTGCTTGGCCCTTAGCTTTACGTCACACACAACCTGGGAGTGTCGTAAAGGAACGTCAGTTGTAGCAGGGAGTTGATCAGGGGCCACCTTGTTGGGGTTCCTTGTTTCCTCGCCCCTTCCCTCTTATCACCTCCTTGACTGCCACTGGCCTTCATCGGTGTGAGGAATGATGGTCTCCTTGCTTATCAGCACAGTGCTCGAGTTGGTATTTACAGGAAGAGGATAAAAGGACCATGTCTTGCAAGTTTCACAGGCCCCATTTTCAAGATCAGGGTGTCACGTTTTCAGAGACCGTGTTGGCCCATCTCATTGATAGCTGTTGGGTTGGTACACATCCTTACTTTCCTGTCCTCCATCTCAGGAGGGCTGTCCAGGCAGCAAGCTAAGACACAAAATGATCCCAAGCACACGTTGTCCTGTTGCTATCAATGTTTCTGAGGAGGTAGGCCGGGGTGGGGGGCTACGAGTCACCTTGTCAGGTGAGGAAAAGAACTGTCTGAATGACTAGCCGTCTGTGGGAAAAGATGGCCTGAACCAGTAGACCTGTGGCTTTGTGGCAGTTTGCCTTAGAGGATCTCGTGAGCATCAAGCTTCAGAGAGGGCAAGTGTTTCACATAGCTAGGGGCACCTAGCCTAGGTGGCTCAGTCGGTTAAAAATCTGACTCTTGATTTCAGCTCAGGTCATGATCTCAGGGTCCTGAGATTAAGCCCCACATCTGGGCTCTGTGCTGAGTGTGGAGCCTGCTTTTAAGATTCTATCCCTCTGGGACAGCTGGGTGGCTCAGTCAGTTTAGCGGCTGCCTTCGGCTCAGGTCAGGGTCCTAGGGTCCTGGGATCGAGCCCCGCATCGGGCTCCCTGCTCAGCGAGGAACCTGTTGCTTTCCTGCTTGTGTGCTCTCTCCCTCCCTCTCTCTCTCACAAATAAATAAAAATCTTAAAAAAAAAAAAAAATTCTCTCCCTCTGCCCACCCCTGCTTGCATGTATTCATGCACTCTCAGAAAATAAGATCTTTTTAAAGGGGGGGAGGGGCGAGGGCACTTGAGTGACTCAGTCGGTTGGGCATCTGCCTTCGGCTCAGGTCATGATCCCAGGAGCCTGGAATCAGGCCCCTCATCAGGCTGTCTGCTCAGCAGGGAGCCTGCTTCTCCCTCTCTGCTTCCCCTACTTGTGCTCTGTCTGTCTCAAATAAATAAAAATCTTTAAAAAAAAAATCACAGAGCTTAGAAATTGCTGAACTGGGACTAGAATCCAGCTCTCCTAGCTGATCACCTTTCTGCTGTTAACTCCCATTGAATTAATGGTGGCAGTCTTTGGTTTTGTACCTCCTGCGTGTATGTGGTATTTCAAAAGCATATCCTCACCTTGCTAAGAGATGATAAAAGTTTTGTTCACCGAGGTCTTGGGCAGATGAGTTTTACAAGTAAATCGCTTAACACTGTCCAGATCTCTAGCGGGTATCCAAAGGTAGCTACTACACTTCTAGGTGTCAGGAAATATCTTTGGGTTCCTGGTATAACCATTAGCCATATCATAGTGTTTAGAAACTTTTAGGATCACCTGGGGATCTAACAAAGAAAATGCCTAGGTCCTGTCCTTAGAGGTTGTGACCTAATTGGTCTAGGGTACATCCCGTGACAGGGCTAGAACCCTTGCCCTAGACTTGGGAACTCTTTGCGGCAGAAACCAGGTTTTTTGGCTCTTAATAGCTGTCCCCCAAACTAGAACACCTTTTCCTTAAGTAGCTGGTCCCTTTGTAGGTAATGTTGGAGGATGGGAGAAGCAAAGGGTTTGGCTTTGTCTGCTTCTCATCTCCTGAAGAGGCGACCAAAGCAGTCACCGAGATGAACGGACGCATCGTGGGCTCCAAGCCACTATATGTCGCCCTGGCCCAGAGGAAGGAAGAGCGAAAGGCTCACCTGACCAACCAGTACATGCAGCGGGTGGCTGGAATGCGAGCACTTCCTGCCAATGCCATCTTAAATCAGTTCCAGCCTGCAGCCGGTGGTTACTTCGTGCCAGCAGTCCCACAGGTGCGCCAGCTTGTGTGCCTGGGTCTTTGGAACCTGCCCCCCCGACGGCTGTTCCTGCAGCCCGTGGTGGTTGGGGTGAGGGGTTTTGGATATTGGAGTTCAGAAGGTCAGAGTAAGGACCCACGAAAACGAAGATTTATTCATTCTCTCACTCTCACACGCAGTAGTGAGTTAGAATGAAAGAATCCCCATTAACTGGCCTTCCCTCCCCCAGGCCTTTGAGTACTCAGAGAACGTCTTGAATAATTAGCCTCGGGCCTGGCAGTGAGATGAGATGAGATCCTCCTCTCATGTGGATTCAGGTCCTTCGAATCAAAGGGCTTGGATGCTCTTTCTTGCAGGCCCAGGGAAGACCTCCATATTACACACCCAACCAGTTAGCACAGATGAGGCCTAACCCCCGCTGGCAGCAAGGTGGGAGACCTCAAGGTAGGTGGTGGGGAGTGGTGGTTCCATCACCCGGGATATGTCTCCCCAGGCTCCCTGCCTCTCCTCGCCCCCTCTGAGGCGCAGCCTAGGTTCTGGTCCACATGCCTCATCAGTGATGCACGATTTTTGTCTTTGCCAGGCTTCCAAGGAATGCCAAGTGCTCTACGCCAGTCTGGGCCCCGTCCCGCCCTTCGCCATCTGGCTCCAACTGGTAATGCTCCGGCCTCTCGTGGCCTCCCTACTGCCGCTCAGAGAGTCGGTGAGCAAACTGGCCTTGAGAAGCGCGGCCTGGGGAGGAGGGGGTCAGGTTGGCTAGGCCCTGCCCACGGTTGGTCAGTGTGTTGGGCCCACGTTCCAGTTCTGGTCCTGTAATCTTGGCTGTGTGCTCTGGTTGGTCCTTAAGGAGCAGAGAAACAATGGGAGTTCTAGGAGTGTCGGTGACTTTAAGAATTCTGCTCATTGGTGACTCATGTGAGAAAGCTTAATTATAGAAGCTTGTTAGCTGGATGACTACAGAGGCAGCCTATTCTTTTGGGTGGGGTTGGGAGATTGAAGGAAACTGTTCTTTACAGACTATGTCCCGTATTCCAAGAGGTGGAGAGAGTTGTGTTCTCTGTTGGCTGCTCCTCGAAAGTAGCAGTCGTGGTCCCATGTGCGATGTGTTGTGTGAACAGGCTTTGGAATGGCTCCTTCCGTGGGACGTGGCCAGTTGGACATCCGCTGCCGACACTGATGTGCATTTGCTGGTCTGTTGTAGGGTCTGAGTGCCCGGACCGCTTGGCTATGGACTTTGGTGGGGCTGGCGCCGCCCAGCAAGGGCTGACTGACAGCTGCCAGTCTGGAGGTGGTATTGGATGCACACAGAATGGGGAAAGATGGGATTTGACGGGTCTTTGCCCAGACTGATGAGCTTTAATTTTGCTTGTTCTTTTCCTAAGGTGTTCCCCCAGCCGTGCAGACCTTAGCACCTCGTGCTGCTGTCGCTGCTACTGCCCCTCGGGCTGTCGCACCTTACAAATACGCCTCCAGTGTCCGCAGCCCTCACCCTGCCATCCAGCCCCTGCAGGTGAGGCCCACCAAACAGAATGCTAAAAGGATCTCCCCTGTTGGCACTTGATTGAAAAAGGTGCCTTGCTTTGATTCCTCCAACAGGTATTAAATGCCCGCTCTGTGTCAGGGTGCCGTGTTTTCTGTGGTGACACTGCCTCTCGGGCTCTCTCTGCTGGGAGAGAAGGGGCTGGGAAGTATTCCTCCCATAATAGTCTACTCAGAAATGCCCCAGCAGAAACAGCTGCTGTTTCCGCCCTCCTTTTTACAACATGTGTGTGCTCGCTTAGCTCTTTGAGCTGCTCACGCCCACTGGCCGAGTTGATCCTTAGCTGCTCTGCGAGACTGGAACATGCAGGCAGGAAAGAGCTTCATCTGGCAGAAGAGTTCAGCTTCAGAGATCTTAAGTTGGGATGGGGGACTGGACCCAGAGCCCAGTAGTAATTTGCTTAGAGGAGCCACAGTCTGCCTTGTGGCCCCTAAGTCGCTTGCTCATGCTTCATGCTGTCTAAATGCGAGATGCCTCGGAACTCTGCGTATGTAAAATAGTTTTTACCTTCAGAGTCTTCCTCTCAGGGCTGTGACTGGCATTGACAATGCATGTTGACAGTCCTCAAGCGTTTGATAGAATAAAAACATCTGGTACAATAAAGTGATGTGGGATGTAATTATAAATGGAATCATTTGATGATTGCTGAGCCTTGTAGGTTTATTTTCTGTCATTTCCTTTCCCTTTTAATAGCATGCTGTTTTTATTGTAGTTGGTTTTGTGTTCAAGCCTATAACATTCTGTTGCTCCTGTAACCCCTCGTCCCCCAAGCTGGCCATTAATTCCTTGGCAGCAAGGACACCCACCTCCATCTCTGTCACATAGTAGGCTTTCAGAGACTGAGTGGTCAGGCTCAGGACCATCGAGCGTCCTTTCCGTGTTGCTAACCTGCTGTCTCTCCTGGTTCCCAGGCGCCGCAGCCTGCGGTCCATGTGCAGGGGCAGGAGCCCCTGACCGCCTCCATGCTGGCCGCAGCGCCCCCCCAGGAGCAGAAGCAGATGCTGGGTGAGTGAGCCATGTGTTTGCAGGAGAGGGGGCCAGAGCCTGGCACTGACCCAGACACCAGTGTCCATTCACTGGGATTCACCCTGGGCTTTAATTAGATCTCCTCCCCCAGGAGAACGTTTGTTCCCGCTCATCCAAACCATGCATTCAAACCTGGCTGGGAAAATCACGGGCATGCTGCTGGAGATCGACAACTCTGAGCTGCTGCACATGCTCGAGTCCCCCGAGTCGCTCCGTTCCAAGGTGAGCTGGTCCTGAGGCCCTGCAGGGGGAGGCGGGTCTGCTGTCTCCCGACCCTCTCGTCGCGCCTCGCCTCACCTGTGACCTGAGAGCTGCTGTGGGTGGGAATTAGGAAGAGCGGGCAGCACCCGGCAGCACCACTGCTGGGCCCGCGTGCCAGGGAGGGGCCGGGGGCCTCCGCTCAGATGTCACTAACCACCTGGAGATTGCTCACAGGTGGATGAAGCTGTGGCGGTTCTGCAGGCTCATCATGCCAAGAAAGAAGCTGCCCAGAAGGTGGGCGCTGTTGCCGCTGCTACCTCTTAGCCAAGGAAAAACCGTATGTTTGGCTGTTTTTGTTTTCTGCAATGGCTTTGACTTGTGACTATCTTCCTAAAAGATTAGGGACAGCATATAGAGCCACTATAACCCGGTACCTTTTACAGGCAGTCACCTGGGTTCTGTCTGTCATCTGGAAGAGTTAATTTGGAGAAAAGAGAGAACAGGTTGTAAACTATAAGGAGCAATTTTCTGTAGAAGGAGCCCCTGGTTAGATGAATGACCTTTTTGGTTTAGAATAATGACAGATAAACAAGGCGTCATAATCAGATCCTACAGCCTCATTTCTATGACCATATCTCCCTGGTTTGGCTTGAGGTTGGTGAGGGCAGCTGTGTGTGCAGCCGCTGCGTGGCTCTGGGAGCACAAGGGGCATGGGCCCTGGGCTCTGGTGTCGGAGTGGGAGAGACAGATACACCTGACTACAGTTACAGGGTGTGTTCTAGTCCACTTCTGACCCTGGCGGCTGTGGCCTTCGGCCGCAGGGGCGGGGGTGAGTGAGACTTAACTAGGACCTATGACCAGGACTGGCGGGTGCCTCCTGATGGAGGAAGGAGAGGACCAGATAAACCAGAGCCAGAGGCGAGGGGAAAGGACACATGGTAAGGGCCCAGACCCTTCATTTGGATTTAAGCAAGAGAATGGTAGCTTTGAGTACAGGATGGCCAGGAAGGGCGTGGGGCTTTATAGTACCTAGCTAGCCTCAGAGTGGGTGATTATCAGCCAGGAGTGCCCCCTCAGAGGACATTTGCCAATGGAGACATATTTTGGGTTGTCACAACTGGAGATGTGTCACTGGCATCCAGTGGGTAGAGGCTAGGGATACTGCTAAATGTCCCCCAGTGCACAGGACAGCCCCAACAAAATCGTCCTGCCCAAATGTCAGGAAGCACTGCTCTCGCAATACCTTTTTATAAGCTGGAGATTCAGTGCATCTCAGGTTTTTCTGATTTTGTATTTAAATTTGTGTTGGTGCTTTTCTTTTCAGGATTCAAAAGCCAAATAACCCCTCCTGGAATTCAGCTCAAGGTTTGAAGATTTCTAGCGTGTCCTATGGACCTGAACACCAAGAACCACAAATTGGAAATTTAATAGGTCATTTTGTATCAAAAGGTCAATTATGAAGCACCTAGAATTTTTCAATTAAAAGAATATATTCTCTGGGTTCTGCTATGGCCCAGACAGTGTTAACTTTTTTTTCTATTGTGGGTTTTGATTTTTTCCCCCCAGAAATTGGTTTTATTTGATGTACCCAAGTCTTAAGTTTCTCAATAAAGAAAAAAATCTCCATAAAACTGCCTGTACTGTTTTCACTCTGACCAGTTTTACTCTGTTAAATCCAGTTTTCACATGGAAGAAATTTTAGGATGTATTTAGAGTCAAATGAAGTTCTGTATAGCTTATCCTTTTCTGATGGGTTATAAACAGACTATTAGCAATGGTATACAGAACTGTCCCATTGAGTTATCTTGTGGGAGGACCTTTATAACGGACCCCCATTTAACCTGTAGGAACCTGTAGAAATCTGATCATAGCAGACCTTGGGTCTGACACAGAACTGGGTGCAGGGTAGGGTTGGGTCATGTCTGAAGGAACCCAGCCCTCCTTGGATGTGTTAGCTGGCATTTATGGGTCCCCTCTTCTGCAGTCAGTTGATTACACAACTAAGGTTTCCTCTGGCAATGGGAAAAGGCTTGGGGCTAGGTCTGAGTGGCAACAGCAAACAAATGCTGGAGTCCTAAGCACTTTGGTTCCTTTAGTCCTCAAAACAGCCCTCACCTGGCCAAGGTCAACCAGTCTACTTGCCTTCCTTGTCCTCTAGGAACACTTTTTACCTTCCTTGAAATCTGGCAGGCTGTCTTTACTAAGGACGTTACTCAAGGGGTCATTTTCCTTGGAATATTCTTCCCTCAGCAGTTAGCAGACTCCCCATTTTCTTTAAGGTCTGGTCTCACCTTAAGTAAAGGCCTGATTCACTTATGCACAGCAAAGGAAACAAAACTGGGACAACCTACTGAATGGGAGAAGATACTTGTAGACATCCAATAAAGGGTTAGGGTCCAAAACATATAAAGAACGACAACTTGGCACCTGGCTAGCTCCGTTGGTAGAGCATGCAACATTTAGTCTCAAGAGTTGTGAGTTTGAGCCCCATGTTGGGCATAGAGTATAGTCAAAAAAAAGGGAAGGAAAACCAAATAATCCAATTAAAATATGGCGGCGGACACGAACAGACAGTTCTCCAAACACAGATGGCCAATAGACATGGAAAGATGTTCACCACTCATCAGGGAAATGCAAATCAAGATGACAATGAAGTATCACCTCACACGTGTCAGAATGGCGAAAATCACGAAACAAGTGTCGATCTGGAGAAATAGGAACTCTTGTGCACTGGGAGTGGTAATGCAAACTGGTGCAGCCACTTTGGAAAGCAATATGGAGTTTCCTCAAAAAAAAATACAATTACCCAATCCACTAATCACACTATTGGGTATTTACCTAAAGAATATGAAAGTACTGGGGCGCCTGGGTGGCTCATTCAGTTAAGTGTCCCCTTTGGCTCAGGTCATGATCCCGGAATCCCAGGATGGAGCCTCCCCCATCGGGCTCCCTGCTTGGCTGGCTCTGCTTCTCTCCCTCTGCTCTTCTCCCCCCCCCATAGTTCTCTTTCTCACCCTCAAATGGGCAAATAAAAGCTTAAAACACAACAACCGAAAATACTAAATCAAAGGGATACATGCATCCCTATGTTTATTGCAGCATTGTTTATAATTGCCAAACTATGGAAACAGCCCAAGTGCCCACTGGTAGACGAATGCATAGTGTGTGTGTGTGTGTGTGTGTGTGTGTGTGTGTGTGTGTGTGTGTGTAATGCTAAGCAAAATACGCCAGAGAAAGACAAATACCGTATGATTTCACTCACGTGGAATTTAAGAAACAAAACGAACAAAAAGACAAACCAAAAAACAGACTCCTAAATACAGAGAACAAACTTGTGGTTACCAGAGGGGAGGTGGGTGGGGGGATGGGTGAAACAGGTGATGGGGATTAAGATTCCATTTATCTTGAGCACATAGCAGTAAATGGATTCGCTGAATCACTATATTGTACACCTGAAACAAATATAACATTGTTAATTATGTTAATCACACCAGCATTAAAAGAAATAGAAATAAACTAAAGGCCGGGTCTGAAGTAGAGTCCCATATTTTCTGACTTCGTCGGTTAATGCGGCTATGTGTTTGTGTTTTCTGTTACCTTCTGAGTGCCCCCCAAACCAAGACCCACCTGCCCCTGAACAGGAGCAGAGCGCGGTGCGCAGCCAACGAGGGGGCGGGTCTGGAGGCAGGGCCTAGCAACAGCTTCCGGCGGAAGAGCCTGGGAGCAAGATGGCTGCCACCTAGGCCGCGCTGTTTGTTGTTGAGCCGGCGTGGAGGCTCCATTGAAGCGAGGCGGGGGGGTCTCTTGTGGCTTTGCTCCCCCAGCCTGTGAGCAGCGCCTGCGACCTAAGGGTTTTGCTGGGCCTAGCGCTGCCCAGAACCCGTTCCCCTCTGACCCTGGTCTCGGAGAATTGGTGAGATCTGTTATTGTGACCTCGGACCGCATTCCAAACTCTCCTGCCCATTCATTCCATAAACTCCGCAGTCCTGGCCCCTTAGAGGAAGGAATTCACAGAATAGGTGGGGAATTATGGAAAACATCTTTACCGGGGCTGGTGAGCACCATGATGCGAGCGTTTAATGGACAGTGTTGATGGGAGGGTCGGGCTGAGGGTTTCAGGGAATGAGCACTCCGTCTGGATAGGGGAGGGCAAACTGCCCGGAGGCACAGAGGCCAGAGGTGGGTTTGAAAGATCTGGAGTAAGGCTGTTGCCTGAATGGAGAGCAGCAAGAGCCTGGAGGGGTGAAGTAGTCCAACATTTGGGGGCAAATGGTTTGCGTTGAGGGAGCGAGGGAGAAAGAACAATAGATAGGTGGGCAGGGCTCAGGTGAGGAAGTTCTTATATGCCGTGCTACGGAATTTGGACTCTGTTCCGTGGGCAATAATGAGCTGTTGGAGAATATTAAGCAGGGTAGTGACGTGATCCGATTTGCACTTTCTTGGAGTCATTCTAGTGATTGTATAGAAGAGAGAGTCAAACTGGAAGCAGTGAAGGTATCAGAGTAACCAGAGGCTAGATGTAGATCTGAAAGGGGATGGGGGAGCAGTGTACCTCCCAGGTCATTTTGTATACCTGAAAGACCGGGGGCGACTCCTTCCCTTCCCTGCTGCTGTCTTGCTAACAATGTTGCAGCAGCTTGTACCAAGAGTGTGGAGGGCATCGTGCAGAAGGCACGTGGTCTTTGCAGGTGGGCTGGCAGAGGAGGGGGACAACAAAGTTCTTCAGGCTGCTTTTATTCCTTTCGGAGACACCACAGATACTTAGTTTCTTCTGGTGAAACAGGTGAGGCCTCTCATTGTCTCATTTTCAGATTCCTAATGTCAGGAAAAGGACTTCAGAAAAAATTTTAAGTCATGTGCGTCCTGTGTCTGGTTGGTATGTAATGAAGTTCAGGAGGATGCCTCTCTAGGTCAACATGACTATGATCTTGGTGATGGAAGAGGAACGTTCTGAGGGCCACAGGGCCAGGATGGTGGTGTGGCTATGGGCTGAAATTCACAGAGATTGAGTTTGTTGGATTTGAGGAAAGGCTTTCTCCACATTGGAGCCATTTGGGGCCTTTGACTTCTGATCATTTAATAAACAAACTGTATAGTAGGATTCAGTGGGAAGGTAGTTTTAGAAAAATCTTGAAAGGTCCGGGTGTTGTTTCACTCCACCTGCTGGGGAGCTATACCCCACCACACCTGCTGATCAGACCTCCCTTGTTGGCAGCTGTGCTTTTAAATAGCAGAGGGCGGCAGGGAAGCTCAGCTGCAGCAGTGAGGGCCTTGGCCTCTACTCACCCCGAGGGAGTTTCCCTTAAAATGGTATCACAGTTACCGTGCACGTTTCTATGCGATCCTTGGTTGTTATTCTCGAAGATAGAGGAGTTTTAGACCCAGCTGTGCCGCTAACTCTGGGTGTGATACTTAAACCATCTGAGCCTTCAGTTCTTTGCTTCTTAAATAAAACAGTAAGACTGGCTTTCTGGGGCTGTACCCTCCCTGAATTCTATAAGTTAGTAACTCCTGTTGCTCTTGCTGTCTGCCAGCTAACATAACGTTTTCCTGAGGACAGGACTAGGCTCCCTTCACTAGTAGTCACCTAACTCAGTAAGTGAGGTAAGCGCTCTGTATTCATTTGGTGCTCAGTTGGAGTGAATTATTTTTTTTAAGGTTTTATTTATTTATTTGACAGAGAGATAGAGCCAGAGAGCACAAGTGGGGGCAGAAAGGCAGGCAGAGGGAGAAGGAGAAGCAGGCCTCCCGCCGAGCAGGGAGCCCGATGTGGGGCTCGATCCCATGACCCGGGGATCATGCTCTGAGCCGAAGGCAGATGCTTAACCCGCTGAGACACCCATGGAGGAAATAACTGATAAATAACCTTATCTACGTTCTGTAAGTCTTATAAACAAAAGTTATTAAAATGCTTGGAAAGTAACTTAAGGCTTAAATTCTGTGGTGGTAGAATTGGATACGACAAAGTTTAAAAATTCACTGTTTAGCTATGTTTATTTAAAATAAAATGATTTTAATATTTTTGGAAGCATCTAAAAATTAGGTTTTCATTTTTATTTATTTATTTTTTAAAAAGATTTTATTTATTTATTTGACAG